TAATAGGATATAAAATAATATAGTCATCTAGCACCTAGATTATAGTTTTTTTTTTTTTTTTGTCGGTCGTGGGGCTTGAACTCTGGGCCTGGGCGTTGTCCCTCAGTTCTTCAACTCAAGGCAAGCGCTCTACCACTTGAGCTACAGCGCCACTTCCGCACCTAGATTTTATACCAAATAATAAACACAATTAAAGGCAACAACATTCTCATTAATAAGATACTTACCAATATGTATAAGATATGAATAATCCTTCATGATTGTTTCTGCTCTAAAGGAACCATCCTGATGATCAATGATTATTGATTCTAAACTGATATCCTTGAACAGAAAGCAAAGGTAGAGTTATTAAGAAGTAAAATTTCTCTAAAACTTGTACAAAACTATTTTTAGGGTGATCAATAGACGTTCTTAGGATACTGTTTTATGGACTCCCACACCATAATCCAGTTCTTCAAAGAACATATCACAACTTTCATTACATATTTGTTTGATATATACTTTACCCACTAACTCCTGAGTCATAAACTTTAGGGACTCCTTTAGAGCATTATTTGGTATCAACAGTGCCCGCTAAATAAACAAGGTGGCAAAAAAACAGAATCAGGGCAGAAATCAAGATACTTGTATTTGCTTATTTTCCTTTTGTACACCATGCACTGAACACATCACTTCCACACAGAACCTGTCCTTACACCTGCCCATCTTACTGCGTGATGTAGAGACTTGGGAAGCAGACAAGCACAGATGCCGCAGCCTGGGCTACAGTGGACAGAGGCAGTACATGCCTACAGAATGTTCAGTCCTGCTGTGAGTCAGAGGAACCCACTAGCTCAGATGTGGCTCTGCTACCACAGAAGGAGTAGCAATTCTCCAAAATTCCCAGCCGTCTAAACTTGTCTTTAAACACTATGTGGTTTTTAGTTACTGAACCACAACAGCTGTTGAAGGATGAGCTTGGCAATGTGAGTTAGGCATGTATTTGCTCAGTTTTCCAGTGGGGCTGTAAGCTGGTAAAAGCCAGGTCTCTCTGAATCTGGGTCATTACTAGATCCCTGACATCTAAGACAGTGTTGGATAAAAGGGGTTATTTACATAAACAAAAGAGAATCTCTCTGACTCGTTTCAAAGGGCATCTGACCACTATCTATGGTTTCACACATATTAAGCCATAGCAGTATATTCTCTCTAACCCAAACTTATATTCTGGAAATATATTCTTATGGTGAAGTTAATGTGATTCATTTTTGTCATTCATGTTTCAAAAAAACAATCATGGAAAAACACATAAAAACGTTCGAGTGTTTGAGGTAACACAAGGTTGGAGAGGTAAGAACATTCTTTCCAGGCAGCAGCCAGACTGCCTGAGCTCCAAATAATGCTACACCACAACCCACCATGGGACTCTGGGAAAATTACTGACATTTCTTGCTTCTCTATGAAGCAGGAATAACTTGGCATAGTTGTAGTGAGGAGCAAAGGAGTAAAACCAGGAAGGGAAGATGAACAGGCATGTGGCTAACATTTAGTGAGTATTACTTTTTTTTTCTTTCTGACTTTTAAAGAAATGCTTACCTTCTGTTTTGTGTATATGACGATGGTAACTGAAGAGTCTGTTTGGAACCAGTCGTAGCTATAAAGGTGAATAAATGACAAAGTTACTGACATATATTAAATCATCAAGTGATCAAGTGTGTAAAATTTACAGGGAGAAAAACTATATCTCACTAGGTTAAATTTTTCTAAGTTAAAAGTGGTCTTAACATGTTACCATCTTAATAGCTGAACATTATTTTCAAATTAAAACATACTTTTATGTATTTGAATAAAAAATATCATGGATAGCCAGGCACCAGTGGCTCATGCCCGTAATCCTAGCTACTCTGGAGGCTGAGATCTGAGGATCGCAGTTCAAAGCCAGGCTGGGCAGGAAAGTCCATAAGACTCTTATTATCTCCAATAAACCACCAGAAGTGACACTGTGGCTCAAGTGGTAGAGCACTTGCCTTGAGCTGAAGAGCTCAGGGACATCACCCAGGCCCAGAGTTCAAGCCCCACGACTGAAAAATAAAATCACAGATAAAGGATACTTTTTATAAAGGCTGTTCATCTTATTAAATCGTTCTTTGATCAGATTATAATAGAATACACATTGCTAGTTAAGGAAATCTGCAAGCTTATTAACTCCTTATCCCAAAGAAATTAACTCATCAAGGTTGTTTAATGGATCAACAATAAAGTTAAGGTAAAACTAAGACCTCTGTACTGTTTCTGCACTTAATACCTGCACATAGGCAACCATACCTAAAACTTGAAAAGGCATTCTTAGCCCCATGACTTACTAAAACTGTTCACAAAAAAACTGTGATCAAGTATAGAAAGATGCTCTGCTAGAATGGTATTGCAGTGGGGCTGAGGCAATAAGAGAAAGGGCAGAGAACAACTATAACACAAGTTTGTACCGCTTCACGTGGTGTTAACAGTTAAAGACAATTAGTATTCAGTTCCAGCTTAAAATAGTTCCACTTAAAATAGTGAATCGTGGTATGGTCATATGACAGAATGAAAAAAAAAGGTTGTACAGAGCATTTAATCACACAGGAGAGAACTCATACAATATGTTGTAATGTCAGTATTATAAAAGTAGAATAAGCTGGGCGCTGGTGGCTCACGCCTGTAATCCTAGTTACTCAGGAGGCTGAGATCTGAGGATCATGGTTAAAAGCCATCCTGGGCAGGAAAGTCTGTGAGACTCTTATCTCCAATAAACCACTAAAAAACCGGAAGCGGTGCTGTGGTTCAAGTGGTAGAGTGCTCGCCTTGAGCTGAAGAACGCAGGTACAGCCCCCAAGCCTAGAGTTCAAATCCCACAACCAAAAAAAAAAGTAGAATAATATGGAAATAGATACTATGTAAATCAAACTGGAAGAAGTAAGTCAAAATGTCAAGATACACATCTAAGATCAGTAGGATTATAAGTGTTGTGTTTTTTTTACTTTATAGTTCTTTGTATTTTTCCAAGTTTTCTATCAAGAATATATATTTTTAATAAATCATTTATAAAGGGTTATTTAAAAGGGATCAAACTTCTGTAGTTCCTGAAAACTGACTTTTTTTTTCCAGTCCTTGGATGTGAACTCAGGTCTTAGGTAGTGCTCTACCCAATTGAGCCACAGCTCCCCTTCTGGCTTTTTGTGGGTTTAATTGGAGCAAGGAGTCCCATGGACTTTTATATACAGGCTGGCTTCAAACTGCAATCCTCAGATTATCACGCTGCTGAGTGGCTAGGATTGCAGGCCTGAGCCACCGGCCCCCAGCTTCAAACTGACATTTATGGAAGAGTGCCTACTCCAGGGAAACGTGGCAAGTGAGGCACCACAGGACACATGTCAAGAAGTACCGATCAATAGGCAGCAATAAATCAGCCCCAAAGCTTTCTTGTCCTAAATGTTTGCATTTCTGTGTAAAACTGATAAAACTTTAAAAACGTAAAGTAAGGAAGGTGTCTACCTTGGAGAAGAGGGACTTTCCATGGCAGGCGCATCTGTCGCTGGCCTCTTCGGAAGCAAACCTTCACAAGGAAACACAAGTGACAGCCATAACTTACTTACACAGCACCTCAAAGCTTGTCTTTCCAGTTAACTTCTCACTGGGCTTTTACACAAAAGGACATAAGCGACAAATGAGCTACTCAAGGAACTTACATGACTTAAACTTACTCTTGGAGCCAGACCCAACTTCATGCCCTGCCCCTTGCTGCCCTTCCTCCAAAGTGAACCATTATTGAAACTTCTATTTAACACTAGGATTAGTACTTTTTAATTAGTGCATATTAACTACACATCATCATTAGTTCTTGCAATCATATAAAGAAATCATAAAATATATTCTTCTGGTCTGGACTTTGGGCCCAACATTATAGACTACAATTCTTTTATGATTGATAGCAATAAATCAAACCCAGAGCTTTTTAACCATGTTGTTAAAGCAACATGGTTTCAACACCACATATGTTAAAACACATGGTTACAACACAACAGTTGTTCAAACACATATTTTGTATCTGTAATTTGTCGCTTTTATTATTGAATATGATCATACTGCATTAATACACCATAATTTATGCACTCTCTTATTGATGGGGTTATTTCCAGCGGGGGAGTCAATTACACTCAGTGTGTCTCAGTGTGGGGGCATACTAGTTAACATTGTTACTACAGTGTTCCAGAGTTCCCGTTATTCCACTAACTCAGCAAGGTGGTGTTCTTTTCCCACTTTACTCATGCCTGCACAGGGTCCTCATCAACATAGCCCTCCACTGAAGCTCTGAGATATGAAAGAACTCTCCCTATAAGCATTAAGTATTTAATGTTTTATGCAGTTTGTACATATTGTCAGTTTATTTTTCCCAAGTATTGCTCCTAAATGACTAAAATTAAATGCATCCATTATATTGCTAGTTCTCAAACTATGCAGAAAAAAAATGAGTGGTGAGTTTCTGGTGATCTTAGAGATCTCCAATAGGAAGTCACCAATTATAATCTGAAGTTCATTGGCACGTGAGAGATTTTTTTCAGTCACAAAACCTTCTGCTTACAGCGTGCTTAGCAGCCATCACAGATGTACAACCAGCAAATGTCTTAGAGTGAGGCTAATAATGAGGCCTAAGGCTACACACCACTCCTTCTGCTTCCTTCTCCTCCCATGCAACTCTGCAAAGCAGATAAACTAAGGGAAGCCTCAGAGCTATAATAACCAGGCCAAAGCTGTGAATAAGCAGCAGTGGAGACAAAAAGAGAAATGCTTACTGTAAAACCATAGGTAACAAAACCCAGCACCACAAGAATTTATGACAAAAAGCAAGAAAAGGAAGTCTCATTATCTAAGATCTTGTTATTTCTCTTTTAGAAGTCTCAAAGTATGTTAATAAAAGGAAGTCTCATTATCTAAGATCTTGTTAATTCTCTTCTAAGTCTCAAAGTATGTTAATAAAACATGTACATGACAATCTAAAACTGTCTGTGAATTCTGCTTGGATTGTAACTGTCTGACTTGATTATGACGAGAAAATCTGGATTTAAGCTCAGTGTCAGTGCTTATCTTCAATAGTTACCAGAAAACCAGAAGTGGTGCTGAGGCTCAAAATGACAGAGTGCTAGCCTTGAGAAAAGAGTTCACAGTAGCACCCAGGCCCAGAGTTCACACCCCATGACCAACCAAAAAAAAACAAAAAACAAAAAAAACAAGACTTTGTTCTTCTCAGTAGCGATATAATTTGTTATAACGTACACACGGAAACTGTCTATCTCCTCAGCTAGTCCAAGCACTACTCTAGTACTAGAAATAGTGCAGGTTCTCCAGATATACTTGAGTGTAAACGAATAAACTTAGATTCAGGTAGGGAAAAAAGGCTCAGTGTCAGAGCTGTTGTCTTATACTGTTTCCTTTCTCTCAACCATCGGGAGAACACAAAAAGAATTTCCAGAAAATCTTTAGAAAAACTAAAGAGTATCGTGATAAAAACGTGTGATAAAAATGTAACTTGTTAGAACAAAATAACTTCTCTGCCACAGAATGTATCTTGATTTCAACACCTGCAAAGCAAGCTTATGCAACATCCTCCTGGGTAAAAGCAGGGTGAAGTAAAATAATTGAGCAAGCACAATAGGCTGAGAGTATATTCTGGCACCCAACACATGGTCTGACTTAATGATATATGTCCATTTGAAGAGATTGGGTCCTTACTGGAACTCAAAAGGAGTCTGTCCCCCTGTATGATCTAAGGGGCCATTGGAATGACAAAAGGCAGGCAGGTCACACATGGAAATAAATATATATAGACTTAGCAACATAAGATGTCCAGGAGCCAAATCTTAAGAGCCTCAGATACTTGCTGACATTTTTGTGACACACTCCTGTGTGAAAGCATGAGTCTGATTCACTGTTGATGACACAAGCACATCACTTACCATTTAAGACTCGCCTTTCCTCACGATAGTCTTAGAGTGATGAATGGCGGGGAGAGCGGGCAGGGAGAAGTCAGAAAAGAATAGATTAAGAAAATATCGGGATAGTTTACTGATATAACTGTAACAGCCCTTCAGTCTGGAAGGGTTTGTGTTTTGTTTTCTAAGTCTTGAGAACAGATATGAGGCTACTCAATTTAAATAAGTCAGCTTCATCTCTGAAGACTACCAAGACATTTCTCCATGTCAGTGTCTTTTCATTGAACTTTCCCACACTCTTTGGTCCTTTATTCCCCCTAATAAATTGGGTAATTTCTCTCCCTTTCTGCCCCCCCCCTCCACACACACATATACTACCCCCCACCCCAGAGATAAGGCAGAAGGCTTCAGGAATCCAGGCAGAAGCTCTACTACTGAGCCATGCTCCCTCAGTTCATTTCTTTGGCGGACATATAAACCCTGGACATATAAACCCCAAGTTTTTTCCAGGATATAAGATCAGTTAGGCTAAAGTAAACCAACTTCATTAGATTTTGCTCAATAAAATATACATGTTAATAATAGAAAGAATGATACTTAATTACTATTCTTTATTTGATAACGAATTGTTAATGAATGTATTAATACTTGAAAGTAAACATTATTGCAAATTTAAGCTGGCTGAAACTATGAAGTACATTAAGACATTCATGCACATATTCAAGGCAATTACCAGTGTTACAACCTAGAAAGAATTTCAGGATAGCAACAACTCACATCTGCATTTCTAAGGATGGCTTGTCTCACCTCTAAGCCATTTGGGGAGCTAATCAATGCTTTCCTAAGGCTATGGCATCAGCATCTCTCTAAAGTAAGCCCTCCTAGCTCACTCCCCATTGAGCCAGGTACCTGCACTTCAAAGGAAGGCATGCCTTACCTCTAGGCCTTGGAGTTGGGTGCACAGCCCCCATCTCTGGTCTAGGCACCAGGATGTCTACAAGAAATTATCTAGGCTCATCCACCTTACTTTACTTTGATGGCTAATTGCCTGGGTTACAACCACCAGAGTGGCCCCCCTATGGATCTTGCCTTCAAATACCCTGAGGTTATTTGACTTTACTGTGGTTCTTCACTGTTCTGATACAGTAGGGAGCAGTCCCCTGGCTAATAAAGATTCCTAGCCCAATTAACTGAGTGTTGGTGCCTCATTTCGCCCTGGGAAGTTGGGTTACAATAATACACCTGTAATTCCAGCACTCAGGAAGCTAAGGCAGAAGGATAATGAGTTCAAGGCCAGGTTGGTCCTGTTCACAGGATCAAGGGCTGAGATGGGGCTTGACAGTACATCGTATGCCTGGTGCTTTATCTGGATATGAATAATGAAGTTCTGCTATTTGTCTCCCCATATGATCTCAAATTCTTTGCTGAGCACTAATAACTGATTTGCACCTATGGGGATGTTGAAGGTTTCAGGTTGAAACGATGTTCTTCCATTTAAAGATATGCATACAGATTTAGTTACCAGATAGCCTGGGAAATCTGTAATGAAACTATTTAAATTCCTGGTTTGAGGTGCTGTATTTAATCCAAACTCTTATTCCAAACTTAAAGGTGGTATATTTGAATTCATACGGAGAATCAGCTATGACCTGCACCCCTAGACAGAAACTCCTTAAGCAACAAAGTGCTTAAGCTGTTTTCAGGAAAGGCTCCAGAATGCTACCAGGATGGGTTGATGCTGACTTCTTAAGAATGAACACATGCAAAACAGAACTCAACCTAAAGGAAAGGGGCAACCTGTGTAAGGTGTCGCATGTCTCTACGCCCTGAATGCCCTTCTTTCTCACCCAATCAGAAAGCTGCTTCTCCTCCCCCTCCTGTAACTCTCCTGCTACCAACTGATGGAGACAAAGCTCAACAGCTCCCAGCTGCTCTGCTGGCTTGACAGCATTTCCTAGCTTTTGCGTTTTATAAAAATCCAGTGCTATTGTGCTGGCTGACACATGCATCAGGCAGCAAGTCTTTATAGAAGACCTTCATTTTTTTTGTCGGTCGTGGGGCTTGAATGCTGGGCCTAGGTGCTGTCCCTCAGCTCTTCAGCTCAGAGTTAGCACTCTACCACATGAGCCACAGCACCACTTCCAGTTTTCCGGTGGTTAACTGGAGATAAGAGTCTCACAGGCTTTCCTGCCTGGGCTGGCTTGGAACCTGATCCTCAGATCTCAGCCTCCTGAGTAGCTAGGATTACAGGTGTGAGCCACCAGCACCCAGCTATAGGAGGCCTTCTCTTTCCTCTCCCCATCGCCCTGTAAACTAGATCAAGACAGTCAAGACACTATAGTCCAACATCTCTCTGTCATCTCTCTTCCCATTTCACTGATCAAACACCCTGGAAAATCCAGGCCATACACAGAGGTCTCTGTTCCAACTTTCTGCCTTTTATGGACCCACCACCCTGTCTTCCATTCCAGTGTGAACATGAAAATGTCTGAGTGGCTCCAAGATCCTGTATCTATAAAGGGTTTGGGAACATTGGATTCAAAGCTAGCTTTGATTTCTGCTTCTACTTGGCCTTTTATCAAAATCTTGGGATGCCCTTATGAATTAATCAGCTCATTTTTAAAATGGGGTTGTATGAGATGAAGCTTTCTGAGGATTACTTCTCTTTTATTTCTAGAGAGTTAGGAAGAAAACAAAAAGTACTCTACTAATTTCACCTCTCCTGTGGGACACACTGTGGAACCTAGCATACTTCCTGATCACAGCAGAACACATGATCTTTACTGCTGGATTGTGAAGACACACAACAATGGAGGAAAAGGAAAGGTAGTCATTTACAAATTTTACTTAGGATCCTTCCTATCTCCTGCTGGCACTGGATCAGTGAAAGGAAGACAGTGAAAACATAAAAGGGGTTGGTTCAAATCATAGGTTAGTTCAAAAGAACTTCCAAACACTAATGTTTAAATGTGTTAACTTTTGGCATATATAACACTGCTTATCTGTAGCAACAAAAAGAAGTTTCCTCATCACCCCTCATACTTCTTGTGTACTCCTAGCCCACGAATCACTGCATAGGCTAGGAAACTGAGACTCAGAGGGGAAAACTGGCCCAAAGATCACAGGACTATCAGGCCATGGAGATAAGGTTCAACTCTAGCTTCAAGCCCCAGTCACACATATTTGCGCACACATACGCGCACACATACAGTACTTATGTGTCACACTCAGTAATGCCAGTTTAGCACCAGCTCCACTTACTTACCTTTCAGAGCAGTGAGCTTCACTGCCATCCTGCCAACCAGGCATTCCTTCAGCATGGATTCATAATTGACCCAACGGTGAACCTGGGATGAAGATAAATGGGCAGACAAGCAATGTGACTAACTCAATAGGCCATTCCTACTGACCTGTGAGCAAAACTAAACAAAACCTTCTTAAACCACTCTGAAGCTGATTCAATTAACCAGAAAGGAGAGGAAATTGGCAAGCACAGAGACCATGGAGGGCTCATCCTTAGAGACCGCTGGCACACTCAAAGTCTGCTCCCTGGTGTACAGTTAACTTCATAATGCAGTGATGCTGTATTTGGCAATGGATAAATCTACTGGCCAAAATCTTAGTATTAGCCAAAACAGGAGCCTCAAATGATATTAACGATCATTATATTTCTTACCATCATAAATTCATGGCTGGAATTTAAAAATATTCTTCACAAAGTTGAAAAAAAAAGTAATTTACTTAAATCTGATTCTCTAACTGTCTTATCTATAATCTCTGTGTTAAAACAGAAAACCTCTTAAATAGTGATGGCGATCCTGAAGAAAGATATATAAGTAATCTATTGGTTTGCAAATGAATGGAGCTTTTCTCCAGAAAGGCTGTTTATCATTCCTGAAACTCATAAATAAGCCACTTTTTCAGACCTGGGTATTTAAACATTTTCTTAAAATGTTCATTTTCTTACAATTTTTTTCTTTTTCTTTTTTTTGGTTGGTCATAGGGCTTGAACTCTGGGCCTGGATGCTGTTCCTCAGCTCTTCAGCTCAAAGCTAGCACTCTACCACCTCAGCTACAGCACCACTTCTGGTTTTCTGGTAGTTTATTGGAGATAAAGAGTTTCATGGACTTTCCTGCCCGGGCTGGCTTTGAACCACGATCCTCAGATCTCAGCCTCCTGAGTAGCTAGGATTACAGGTGTTCTTAAAATTTCTTAAAATGTTCATTTTCTTAAAATTTTCTTAAAAAATGAACAAAGCAAGATCATTCATTCTAGGGTAACAACTGGTAGTACTGTCATATAGTGCTGAGGGGAATTAAATTTAAACATTCCTGGAAGTCACCTTCTCAATAAGCATTACGTCTTAAAATATATAGCTAAATCACTCAGACTTGGAAATTTGTCTGAGAAGATATCTGCATACACACAAAGATACAAGTTACCAGGCTATTCATATCATAGCATGGTTTAATTAGCAAAAAACTAGAAAAATACAAAAGTGAAAATATCAATAAAGGAAAATCTTAATATGCTATCTTGTCAAATAATATATAAACAAAAACAATAAAATAATCAGGTCAAATGATATCAATATAAAAATCTTTGATATATTAAATACATAACAAAAACAAGTACATTTCCTAGGATAAACTGACATTTCACTTTCCAAATATCTAGGGAGAATCACTGAGATGTGAGTGTGTGCCTCTGGAGGTGGAGAGATGGGAAGGGGGTCGGAAGACAAAGGAGGAAGGTATTGAAGAAGGCCAAGGAACTCATGGGGTTATAAATACATGGGAATGCTCAGAAGCAGCAGGCACTTAAATTCTCCCAAAGCAGAATAGCTACCCTGACATGCTCTAAGGCCTCAAATGCCAGGCAGATAACTAAATTTATCCCACTGCCAGTAGTGAGCCACTGAGAATTGTAACAATGTGTAAAAAAAATGTCATCTTCCAGAAAACAAATCTAGCTCACATGTTTCCTAAATCAGTACTTAAGATGAAAACAACTGGACAGTATTGAGATCTGAGATCTGAGGATCACAGTTCAAAGCCAGTCCAGGCCAGAAAGTCCGTAAGATTCTTATCTCCAAATAACCACCAGGAAACTGGAAGTATGAATCAAAGTAGTAGAGACTAGCCATGAGCAAAAAAGCTCAGGGACAACACATAGGCCCTGAGTTCAAGCCACATGCCTGCAAAAAAAAAAAAAAAGGGAGATGAAAAAAAGAGCAGAGTTAGAGAGAGTAATGATGACCTGAATTAGGCAACAGAAAGGAAGAAAAGGTGTCATGTGTGAGACACCACATTGGAATCAGCCAGAGACTGATACCAGGGCATTATGGGAAATGAAGATTACTTCAAGCCCTACCTATAGATGCAGACAGGAAAAAAGTGAAAATTGGTACTGAAGATATACTAGAGTGAAATGCTAATAGGTAAGTGGATTGCTCATGATGTATTTGGAAATACAAGAGGTCAAAGACCATCTGAGATGTAGTAGGACAATAAAAAGAGTATCAAGTTATCAAATTGGGTATGCTTTGTAGACTTCAAATATGGGGGATATGCAAAGTTTTACAAGCCAGGTGCCAGCAGCTCACTCTTTTAGTCTTAACTACTTAGGAGGCTGAAATCTGAAGACAGCAGTTTGAAGCCAGCATGGGCAGGAAAGTCCATGAAACTCTCATCGTCAATTAACCATGAAAGGAAAGTCAGATGTGGAGCTGTGACTAAAGTGTAGGGCACTAACTTTAACACAAAAGCTCAGATACAGTGCCAAGTCCCTGAGTGCAAGCCCCAGAGCCAGCACAAAAAGGAAAAAGTTTTACAATGAAAGACTCAAGAGGCTTCACCACAATCTCCAGAACATAGCTGTTTACTTCCACAGAGAATAAGAGTCATAAATAATTTAAGCTCTGGTCTCATTATAGCCCAGGGAAATGCAGCACACAATAACTAAAGTGTGTTGTTTCATGGATGCCATGACTTCTCCCAAACAAGTCTTCCTTCAACAAGGCCCAAATAAACTCAGAACACTGAGGAATATCAACAAGATTACATTTTAATGCAGATTCTTCTTACAGGAGAGATTCAACATCAAAGGTTACAGAGCACATATAAGAGGGAAAAATATGTGGAGGACCTTTCAGGCAAAAGTTCCTAAACTTTTCTAGCAGGCTTGGATTGCTAGGTAATGACAAATCACAAATGATAACAGGAAGCTGCCTTTTAAAAAGCAGTAAGGATGCTGGGCACTGGTGGCTCACACCTGTAATCCTAGCTACTCAGGAGGGTGAGATCTGAGGGTTGCAGTTCAAAGCCAGCCTGGGCAAGGAAGGTCATGAGACTCTACAATTAACTACCTAAAAACCGGAAGTGGAGCTGTGACTGCAAGTGGTAGAAGTTCAGGGACAGAGACCATGCCCTGAGTTCAAGCCCCACGACCAACAATAACAACACAAAACAGTAAGAACGCTGACAGAAGAATGCCATTATGACAATATGTAAAGATGATTTTTCTCCAATCCACAAGGAATATTAACAGCAAAAAAAGTTCTATACTTAGACACATCTAAGGACTTTTAAATACAAAATAAGTTATATTTCTGGAAACCTGGTTAAATAAAACCTTACTAAATGAGAAAATAGAATATAAATAACCAAGATAGAGCTGATCAGAAACAATGTAAACCAATAAATACATACAACTCAATTTGATTCAGGTATCTTGTACTGAATCCAGTACTCTCACCTAATTAATTAGTACTAAAATACAAAATAAGATATGCTACACATAGGCAAATTTCACTGCTTCTGACCATTGTAAAAGATCATAGAATAACAACATAGCAAATATAGTAATCAAAGCTATACATTCTGTATAGCTTTTAAAAAGAGTAAAAGCTAATCCTGAGGCAAACAGCATAAGATTACTAATTCAATTATCTGTTGAGACAGCCACACAGAATCTCTCCTTTTAGTCTGGTAAAAAATGACTTTTTTGTGTATTAATCAACCTCATCCTATCCCTATATGATACACAGATTCAGCACAATGATGCAGGCATTGTATGTGTAGCAATTCACAAATGTACAAAGACCAAGAACTTTGAAGCCAAGCTAACTGTTTAAAAACATTCAGCAAATTGGTGGCAGACTCCAGCATTCCTTCCAATCACCACTACTTTCCGGAAGTCAATTCTCATCATTATTAAAATTAATCATGACTTAGTAAGCACTTGCCAGCAGGGGAAGGCAAACAGCAGGCCAACAATTTGAAACCATCTCTAGTTTTGAATGATTCAAAAGCAAACTAAATGAACAGCTGCTACTTGTGAACATCTGCCTACATTTCACAATTTGAACCATACATCTGAAATTTATGCAACTATTTGCTTTCTTTCTATAAATGTCACTTGGCTCAATCTATGAGCACTCTTCCACTGTAGTAAGCCAATTCCTTAAATTATAACTTTCAGTCCCTCACCTGATCGAAAAGATCGGTGCCATCCGCTCCCGCTGCTCTCATGAGCTCCTCTTCTCCACCAGGGTGATACTCCATGTACGGGCTGACGTTATAAACATACCCTGTTCAAAGCAAGGGAAATTGTACTCCAGTGAACTTCTTAAAAACTGCAAAAGCTGCAACTTTAAGTACCAGTAAACTATTCCCAATCAATTTTACTGAATTAATTGCTATTTCCAAGTATCAAGAGCTATAAAGAAACCAAAGTTCCACTGTGCTTGTAAGGTCACAAGTTAACCTGTCAGTTGAGGGGCTGGGCAGGTACCTGAGACCCCACAGTCAGAGGCAGAAAACATGGGAGCCTTCACATTCCAGAAGTACACATTGATGTCTACATCAATGCTGCAGGCCCATCAATGCTGAAGGCCCACTTTGTCACACATGACCCAGCAAGGAAACAGTCACTTGAAGAACCTGTACGCACTGGAAGATGATATAGAGGCAAAGATGGAGCAGTACAGCGCACCTCTCACCCGAATGAGGAGCTGGGCTCAACAACATAAAGTCAGAGGGGCCCACACCAGTAGTGATGGAAGGCTGGGACCAACCCCAGCACTGCTATATGGGCAGGGTTGCTGGTTACTGGTGGAGAAAAGGCGGATGCCACTAATAGGGCACACATCCCAGCAGCCTGTGATGCGAATTCAAGCCTGCACATACCTGACCTGAGTTTGGGAGTTTTAGCAGGTCTTAGAAGACATCCAGAAATGAATCATGGTCAGTGTTGTCATCACTTTTTTCCTGTCCACTCTTTACCTACTCTCCATCCAATGCCCTGTCCTCCAAGGCTGGACCTCTGAAGCTGGCAAAGGTGAAAGTGGGGTATAGCTGCAGTGTGGACTGGGGCTTTGGCATGTAAAGTACTAGCTTTCAACAGAAAGGAGTCTTGCGGGGAAGGAGGGGGAACCAAGGGTGAAAAAAATTATCAATAAAATGACTTAAAGCCAGGCACTGTTGGCTCACCCCTGTAGTCCTAGCTACTCGGGAGGCTGAGAGCTGAAGACCATGGTTCAAAGCCAGCCCCAGCAGAATAAGCCTCATGAGACTCCAATTAACCACTCAAAAACCAGAAGTGACACTGTGGCTCAAAGTTGTAGAGTACTAGCCTTGGGCAAAAGTATCAGTCTGGAAGGCTGTGGGTGTTTCAGAGCTCAGGGACAGCACTCAGGCCCTGAGTTCAAGCCCCACATCTGCAAAAAGAAAGAGAGAGAGAGAGAGAACTTTCAAACAACAACAGAACTGTTTTTCTTAATACTGAAGACTGTTTCCTGTTTACATGATGGCATCTATGAATTTAAATCATCTTAAAATGTTCATCATAATGAGTTTGGAAGGAAGGAGGCTGGATTTGAGACCTATGAAAAGTACTACAATTTTTCTACCAACTTAATTTTAGAAAATAACAAGCCAGTCCCAGAGTTCTTCACGAAACTGCTTAGAAGCAAGCACAAGGAATCTACAAAACTACTTTTCAGCAGGCATCCAAAGAAGAGTTTAAGAAAAACTAGCTGGGCCCCACCCTACCTCTCTCCTTGCCCATCAAAATTTAGGGCTTTTTCCAGTCTTTAATTTTTCAAACCACAAATGAGCGTTAACAATTAGGATCACATGGTTCCTAGTAGGCTTTTTATGACAGAGGATGTGTTCCGAACGAGATCCAAACATCCTCTATAGTCAAGTCTTGAGCAGAGCTGTAGAGTTTCTCAAGAATAAGATCTCTAACACACATTAGCATCTGGGACAGAAACTGCATGTGGTTCAACCACCGGCGTTCTGGGGTATGTGAAGAGCTGACTGTGTCAGCATACAAAACCTGAAATACCCACAGCCCTCCAGATGGATGCTTAGTCTTTCACCACATTCCTTCCTTCCTGACTGGATCACCGGAACCAGAGCACACCCCACTCTCCTCAGATGGACAACACTACCACGTTCATAAATCCCGCATGGCAAGTCGTGACTGTAAGGTCTGTACCTGGATGGCGAGCAGACTCCACCCTCCTCGCATCAAAGTCTCCGCCCAGTACCTGCATTACCTAGGCAACTGGCACACCTGGAAGAGGTCACATCTGCTGAATTTGATGTGGCCACACCTTTCTCTGCTCATACCCTGGATAAGGCCTCGCCCAGGCCCAGATGCTCTCTCTCCCAGCTCTCTCTCTTTCTCTTTCCCAGCTCTCTCTTTTCTTTCCCAGCTCTTTCCCAGCTCTCTTCTCTTTCCCAGCTCTCTTTCCCAGGCCCTTCCCAGCCACATGGAGGGCCAACATGGCCTGGTGCCAGCCAGAACGATGAATAAACCTACCCCTTACCTGAATACACATGTGTGGTCCTGTCCTTACTTGGCTACCTCTTTTTAAAAAACTAACATAAATGGTGCCAAAACCCGGGAAGGGCTTAAAGTCAGGATAGGTGGGATTCCTCTCTGTTTTTTTTTCTTTTTGTTTTTTGTTTTTGTGTTTTCCCTTTTTTGCTCTGAGGAATACCCATAGTTCTGACGGCCTTTTTGCGAACTGGTCTGTCTGCTGCAGACAAAGCGCATCAATACCACTGCTGGCCTCTACATCCACCTCCACGCTTCTACATTTTGGTGAGTGAACTACTCTCTAAGTGTTCTCTGCCGCTCAGTCTCTCTTCAGACGTGGTACCACGCCGGAGAACCTGCTAGGCCTTTAACTGAAATGCCGGTCACCAGGACGTTTGACTCTGGTTGCTTAGTTACTCCTCCCTAGAGGGCTTGGTGGCAAGTTGGGACACCGCTTCCATGCGATAAGCCCTCCTTCACTCACAAATTTTTTCTCTCCTATGCCTTTAATGGGGTGCTATGTGTCACTCCAGTGCCGTGAAACCCCTCTGAAATGCCTCCTGCACTCCCTGGAAAGCCAGAGCACCTAATTTTTTGCTGTTTTTCAGATTTAGACAATTTTTGCCTCTGCAATGGTACATGGGTAGAAGTCTGTTTACTTTTAGGCTCTCCCTGCTAATCATGTTCAACTTTCTCTCCTTTTTTCTACAACTTTTTGTCTTGTGCCCTGAAGAGTGTGACACAGGCTGGGTCCCAGGGACCCCCCTCTAGGTTCTCTCCCAAAGGCTAGCCAAACTAGGCTTGATCTATTTGTTCAGGGTTTCTGTGCATTTTTTTTCAGAAATTTGCCATCTTGAGTTCGCCATCTTGGCCACATGGTGGGTTAAGGGGTTTGCCCCATCTGACCCATACCCTTCCACCAAGCTTACTACTCCTCCATCCATCTATTCTAATGTACCTTGCTAACAACTTGCTCTTTTCACAGACCCTGGCTGGTAGCTGAGGCCCAATCATCTGATGTGCTTTGTTAGCAAAGATGTCTAAACATTGTTGTCAAAATTTTAGGTTTTGAGTTTTGCCTTTTTCGTTTTGTGTTGTGTATTCTAGTACTGACTGCGTGATTCTAAAATATTGGGCATATCTATGCTAAGATTCTCACATCTAACCAGTTTTGTCATTGCAGAATATTTCTTGGCCAATTCTTGATAAGGACCAGGTAAGCTCTATTCCATTTGATCTCCTTGTTGCTTTAATTGGAAATAATAAAGGGTTTTCGTGGCAAAGATTGCAATTCAAAGACAGCCCAAGCTGAAAAATCCCTAAGACTCCATCTCCCAACTAACCTGTAAAGAGCCAGGCTGGAAGCATGGCTCAAGTCTCTTATTTTGAACTAGCAAACACTGAAAGTGGTACTATAACTCAAAGTGGTTCAGTGCTAGCCTTGAGCAGAAGTGCTCAAGGATAGTGCCCTGGCCTTGAGTTCAATCCTCCTTGAATACCAACTGGGACAAGCCATCCCAGCAACAAGCACCTAGACTCAGCCAGTCTGGGGAACAAGGGACCATGGAGAGGAGTAAGAGATGATGTCACATCAGCTACTTTGTGCCTGCCCTTTCCAAATTAACCAGAGCCGGAGGTCAATAGAAGTAAGAAACCTGCCCATCTAGTGTCCATACCTGTCTACCTATTAACTGAACAGGAATTTATATTCTTGCCTTTGTCACCTGACTTCTCCTATACCTAGTCACCAGATGTCAGAAGTAGCTAGGGACATTTCTACCAACATTTTTCAGCCCCAAGTCCTTCCTCTTGCCATTTATTTGCTCTCTAGTATTTTTTTTTCCAGCCCCTCAATGCCCCATGAGACTTCTCCAGACTTCATCTAAGGACTCACGCCACCAAAGGACAGCTGCTGCTAGCTGCCTTCTCTGGGAGGGGTCCAAATTCTAGCCTTTTACCCCTATTGTCGATGCTCCTTGTCAGCAGGAAGTAGCCAGAGAGAATCTGCGCCCTATTTCATGATTATTAAAAGGCTGGAATGTAAGGTCCTCTCCTGGATGGCGAGCAGACTCCACCCTCCTCGCAGCAAAGTCTCCGCCCAGTACCTGCATTACCTAGGCAACTGGCACACCTGGAAGAGGTCACATCTGCATCCGCTGAGGTCACATCTGAATCTGATGTGGCCACACCTTTCTCTGCCCATACCCTAGATAAGGCCCAGCCCAGGCCCAGTGGCTCTCTTTCCCAGCTCTCTCTCTTTCCCAGTTCTCTCTTCTCTTTTCCCAGCTCTCTCTCTTTCCCAACTCTTTCCCAGGCCTTTCCCAGCTGCATGGAGGGTCAACATGTCTGGTGCCAGCCAGAACAATGAATAAACCTACCCCTTACCTGAATACCACGTGCGTGGTGTGGTTCTTGCTCGGTAACCTCTTTTTAAAAACCTAATAATGACAAAACAGTTACTGTTGCAGCCCGAGATACCTTAATGGCAGTGTTAATAACTTCCCAATCAGGAGACTTAAACAGCAGCCCTGAAGTAAACTGGTCCATTTCTACAGACCTCTTTCCTGCCTCTTTCTTTTCTCTCCATCCTAGTTTTCTTTTCTAGCAATTAAAAAGTAAGTCCCTGAATGTGCAATGTATCCCCCTGAAAAAAGCGTGCTTTCCCTTCATGCTTTGTAATTATCTCTGTACTACACATGATCTTTTTTCTTTCTTTCCTCTTTTTCCTTTTTTTTTTTTTTTGTGCCAGTGTTGGGGCTTAAACTCAGAGTCTGGGGGCTGACCCTGAGGTGTTTTTGCTCAAGCCTAGCACTCTACCACCTGGCCCACAGCTTCATTCTGGCCTTTTTTTAGTAATTAATTGGAGGTAACAGTCTCAAGGAATGTCCTGCCCCAGATGGTTTTAAACCCTGATCCTCAGATTTCAGTAGAGATCTGAGTAGCTAGGATTATAGGCATGAGTCACTGGCACCCAACTACATCTGGCTTTTATTAAGCAAGTCTCTCATGTTCAAGATTTGCTGTCATTGTTTTGTTTTGTCTCATAGTATGAAGGACTGAATCCAGGCTTTCTTCAAATAAGCTTTGCACTGAACCCTTTTGTTTTGATTTTGTTTTTCAGACGGTCTCATTAACTCTGCCAAAGTTAGTGTCACACTTATGACATCTTCCTTTCTTTGCCTCCCAAGTAGTTGGGATCACAGGTTTACCACTGGGCAGAGCTTCTTGTAAGCTCTATTTGTTTCATGTTTGTTTGATTGTAGGGCTTGAACTTAGGGCCTGGGCCCTGTTCCTGAGCTGTGTGGCTCAAGACTAGCCATCTACCACTTGAGCCACAGTTCTACGTCTGTCTTTTTTTTTTTTTTTTTTGATATTTAATTGAAGCTAAGAGTGTCAGGCTTTGCTGCCCAGGCTGGCTTCAAACTGGGATCCTCAGAACTCTGATCCTCAGATCTCAGCCTCCTGAGTAGCTAGGATGATATGTGTGAACTGCAGGCACCCAGCTACTACTCGACATTTAGAAAGAGTTTTGTAACCTTCACAAGTCTCCAATGACGATTTTATTAATTTCTTCCTAAATTTCTAATTCCTAAGGTGTGGCAGCTTGGAGCACATGTTTGACCATGGGATAGAAACTATTCATTTGTGGAAGATAATACTCTCAAATTGATGCTGGGATCTTGATAAATTTTGCAAAGTCTAAATTCTAATTAATAACGTTAGAAACAAACAGCCTCCCACATTCATGTCTTTTTTTAAAATCTAGATTCTGCATGAGAGAAAAAATGTGAAATTTGTCTCCTCACTTCCTGCCGAAACCCTGCTCAGGGCTCCAGGTTTATCTCCAACACACACAGAAACACACACACACACAAACACACATACGTACATACACACACACACACACACACACACACACATCTTATTTTCCTAACCTAGGTGTATCCTGCCTCTAGTCTGCTACCACCATCTCCAAAACCCTCTACAGAACTTCACTGCCACTACCTCCGCATGACAGCAGGTCTAAATAGACTGTCCCGTGATAAATGAAAAACAAGCTCTGTCAAAAGAAAAAGATAAAAGAAAAAAGTCAGGTGTCAGTGTCTCATGACTATAATCCTAGCTTCTCAGGAGACTGAGATCTGAGGACTGAGGTTTGAAATCAGACAGGACAGAAAATTCCAAGAGACTCTTATCCTTGATAAACTAGCAAGAAGCCAGGAGTGGAGTGGTGACTAAAGTGGTAGAGCACCAGCTTTATGCAAGAAAATAAAAGGAACAGCACCTAGGCCTGGAGTTCAAGCCCAAGGACCAGCACCAACAAAAGAAAGAGAAAGGAAAGGAAAAACAATACACTTACTTTTCCAAAGAAAAAAGAAAAGGATTACTTATTGTCAGATTAGAACACATTTCCCTAATAGAAATTTTAAAGAAATTTAAATCAGCAACCTTGCTGGAAGAGGTGTCACATATTGAAGTCATTTGAGGTGACAGTGGACTCCAGCACAGTAGTGCAGTCCTTTATCCCATCAACATATCAAATGAATAGTAGAGGGGATACAGATTCTCATAAGCTCTCACTGACTATAGAATATGAGTCTTCAGAAGTGGCTCTATCTTGCAGAACAGAGCTGAGGCCCCTGCAGTTGGGCCAGCTGAGGAGTGCTCCTGGAGAATGGGTCTCCACCAATCCCGAGCAAAGCACTCAGGCACAGAAGAGAAATCACTTTGAACCAGTGCCCGCAGCCAGTAAACAGGTAAGCAGCAGGAAAGGAGGGGGTGGGATACTGGAACCCTGTAAGAAACAAAGGGATCTTTTCACACCTGGCAGAATCTTAGATCCAGCTTGCTGGTAGGAACCACATCTGAATGTTCCTGGATTGCTGAAGAGTTCTAGCTTGGGACAAGGTATGTCATCACCTGCTAGAAGTTTCCATATCATGGTCACTGAAAACTTCATACTCTAAGCTGGAAACAGTGGCTCACATCTGTAATCACAATTTGAGGCCAATCTAAGCAATAAGTCATTTAGACCCTATCTCCACCAATAAGCAAGTGTGGGGGAGACAGGTAGAAGGATTGTAGTCTAAGAGTGCCAAGGCAAAAAAAAAAATCTTTAAGAGACCCAATGAGAACAATAACCTACAACAAAAAGGGTTAGAGGGGTGCCTCAAATTGCAGAGTGCCTGCCTCATAAGCACAAGGTTCTGAATTCAAATCCCAGTATCACCAGGAAAAAAAAAGAAAAAGAAAAAAAGGATAAGAGAAGAGAAGGCCGGGTGCCAGTAGATCACGCCTGTCATCCTAGCTACTCAGGAGGCTGAAATCTGAAGATTGTGGTTCAAAGCCAGCCTGGGCAGGAAAGTCCATGAAACTCCAATAAACCACCAGAAAACCGGAAGTGGCCTGTGGCTCAAGTAGTAGAGTGCTAGCCTTGAGCTGAAGAGCTCAGGGACAGTGCCCAGGCCCAGAGTTCAAGCCTCACGACCAATAAAAAAAAAAAAGGAGAGAGAGAGAGAGGGTGGGAGGGAAAGGAGGGGAGGGGAGGGGAGGGAGGGGAGTAGAGGAGAGGAGAAGAGAGGAGAGGAAAGGAGAGGAGAGGAAAGGAGAGGAGAGGAGAGGGGAAGGGAGGGGAAGGGAGGGAAAGGGAGGGGAGAGGAGAAGGAATGTCTACTAGTGTCCAGGTCATGCCCATGATAGAAGAGCACACATAGAGGACTGCAGCCCAAGGCAGCCCAAGCATGCAGTGAGACCCTGTCTTGAATAACCAGTGCCACAAGGGACCAATAGTGTCAGGTGACAACGTATCTACCTAGCAACTGTGAGGCCTCAGTTCAAACTTCATTACCACCAAAAAATAACCAGGACACTATTAGATTATTCACTTTGATTCCCCTGAAGCTGGAGATGACAGGCATTGCCAATGTGCCCAGCCATCCACCGAGATGGACGTCTGAGGATTTTTATATCCTGGAAGGCCTCAAACTGTGACCCCCTGATCTCTGTACCTCAAGTAACTGGGATTCTGGGCTTGAACCAATGTTCCCAGGTAAACTGCATCTTTTATAGGTTGAATTCTGTTCAAGGTTAAGATGAGTATCTTAACCTAGTAAGTATAGAACATAGCACACACAGGACTCCATGGCTTTAAATGAAACCACACAATTACCCTCCCCCCACACACACACATACACATCCATCATATATCCTCCAATCCCTCTTCCTTAATCACCACATGACTGTGTCCCTGTGCATTTCCCAATATAAATTTCCTGCCCTGCATTAGGGGCCTATCTTACTTTAGGATGATCTAGCTGACTTCACATCCATAATGAAAGCCATATTCTGTCTTCTTCTGATACTCTCATTCTAATGTGAAATTTACAATGTAGTATGGGCTAGAAAACTCAGGAACTGGCATGGCTAAGAAAGAACATTAAAAACAATTTGCTGAAAATGAGATTTGAAGGCTGGGCTTTAATGTAGCCTTTCTGGCTCCCCCTGGGTTCTCAGACACATCTTTTCCAACAGAACTCAATTATGTGGCTCTGAGATGGAAAATGATGTGACACACACTGTGTGTTCTGGATAATTCTGCTGTTCGGTTTGGCATTAAATTTCCTGGCAAACACTTGTTTCTTTGCAAAGGGAATGCTGTACTGAGATGCTAGACAAAATTTCCATTTCAGAAGTCAGGTGTTTTCTACATCAAAATGAACACAGTTATGTAAGGAATACTGTCCAAAGTCAGGACATGGTGTTACCTGATGCTCACAAGGTAGCATGAGCACCACAGAATGATTACATGACCCTGTAAATGGAAAACCCAGGCAACATTTTTTTAAGTACTTAATAAACCTACCCCTTATGCATATCCAGCAATCATCTTTCTTGTTGTGTTTCTTAAGTTCTTCTTCAGTGACTTCAATCAGCCTGCCTTGCATACCTGTCAGGTCCTTTCCACTTTTGGTCAGTCGAATCCAATCCATAAGACTTCTGCCTTGTTTTAAAGGGACCTTAAAAAAAAAAAAAAAAGAAAAGAAAAATTGGCTTCTTTGAGTTGTTTTTTTCTTTCCAGCCCCCTGTCTACTACCTGTCTTCAGGATATTTCATTATTTTTATTCCCATTTAAAAAGATAAAGCGTCTCAAAATGCTGAGTCAGGAAAAGTGGAAGTTCAAGGCCAGCCTGAGCAAGAAATGTGACCAGGTCTCAAAGACATAAAGAGAGCTAAGTGCTGTGGCTCAGAGCAGTGATCACCACTACTCCAGAGATGGAGGTGGGAAATAGCCTGGTTTGAGACAACCTGGTGTAAAAAGTTAGTGAGACCTCATCTCCTACCCAAGCTGGAAATGGCTTAGGATTATGAGTGAGCCTCTAATTGTAGATAGGGAGAAAACAAAGTAGGAGGATTGCCATTTTAGTTTGAAATTGCCCAACAAAAGAAGGTAGTTGGCAATTTTAATGGAGAAAAGCAGCAATTCACATTCTAATTCTAGAAAAGTAGATTAAGGAGAGAAACAGATCAAACATCAGGAAGGAAGGGACGCAGGATTGCAAGGTTGGATAACAGAAATACACAGTCATAAGTGAAATGTCACAAACGTGATCACATCACAAGCCTTCATGATCTAAGACATCATTTCTTACTCAATTTCCCTTTTCTGTGAAATGGTACAGTAAAAGCTCCCATCGCAGGGTCACTGTGAAAATTAAGTGAAATAACACAGAAAACACAGAGAGCGCACACAGTCACCAGTAAACACTTCAAAAACCCTTGCGGTAAAAGCAAATGAAAAGTACAGCTCCCTAAAGCCACATACCGATCTGAGATTAGAACTCCAGTCTATGTGAAAGAAGTGACACTAAGATTCAAAAGCAGTCCAGAAATGAAAATAAAAAGGAGTGACTCAACAGGTGAAAGTTTCAGACAGGAATCAGGAAGATGTGGCTACCCAACAGTGGGAACAAGTGGCATTCACACTGCAGGGCACCCAGGACAGGATTTGCATCCAATTTTGCAAATGTAAAATATTTCTGTATGCCACCTGTTGCTAGCAGTCACTATGCCCAACAAATACTCCAGGATATCAGCTCTAGAGACAGCAAGTAACAAGTAGAAGAGACACTGTTAAAACTGTCACATACTAGAGGAAGGCAGTATAAATGGTATGACTTGGAGAAATATCCTTAAACCTAACGGGAGGCTTGTGGACATTCTCTCCTCTAGGTTCTCCCCAACTGGCCCAGAAGTCCCCGCCCTGGCATGGCTGTCACCACGGTTCTGCAAGGGACTGGCCTCACCCACCACTCCCAAACAGGGGAGAGCAAAAGGCGAGAGGGGAGGATGGAGTAAGGTGAGAGAGGCCCAGATGTGGGAAGAGATGTAGCAGGTGTTGGAAGGGAGGACCAGATGAGGGAAGGGAGGATGGGGAAGAGCAGGGGCTGAGTCTGAGGACCTTCATCCAGCACCTGGCCAGAGCTGGTCCCACAGGTGGGCACTTCGGGAAAAGATTTGGAGTGAGGGAACTGACAAGAGGGATGAAAACAACAGGAAAGATGGGGAGGAAGAAGAATTTGGGGTCTGGAGACTGGGGAGATCAGAGAGTGGGGCTGAGAGGATCAAACAGGGGGGCAGGAGGGAATGGGGAGAGGCAGACGGGGGGGACAGGAGGGGATGGGGAGAAGCAGATAGGGGGACAGGAGGGGATGGGGTGAAGCAGACAGGGGGACAGGAGGGGATGGGGAGAGGCAGGCAGGGGAAGGGAGGGGTCGGGGAGAGGCAGACAGGGCCATGGGGCAGGGATGGGGAGAGGCAGACAGGGGGACAGGAGGAGATGGGGAAAGGCAGACAGGAGGACAGGAGGAGTCAGGGGAGAGGCAGACAGGGTGACAGGAGGGGACGGCCGGCGTGAGCCTCTACTAGGCCCGGCCGGGCCGAGACGCCGGGGTCACCCGCGTACCTTGCTGCGGCCCCCAGAGGCGGCGCGCTGCTGGGAGCTGGGGCCTGGGAAGGACTGAGACGGGACGTTCAGCATCCTGGACCCCCGGCCCGGCCCGGCCCGGCCCTGCCCGGAGTCCACACCGCACGGCTCAGCGCCGTTCGCTCCGGCTCCGTGGCCGGGCAGACGCCAAGCCCGGACCCACTTCCGGGGTCGCCTGACGTCATGACGCAACACGTCGGAGGCGGGATCATGAGATTACGCACGCTCAGTTATGGACGAGGCGAGTACGCATGCTCAGTTTTCCTTGCCCTGACTTCAGCACTGCGGGCAGCGAAGCCTTTGGGATTGCAGGTGGAGAGCGCCGGCCGTGCCGCTGTCCCGAGCTCCGGTGCTGAATGAAGTGTCATAGCGGCCCTTCACCCAGTACACCAACACTCGTCCGAGGGTATTTAGACAGTCATCAACTTTATCAGCATATACACTTTGTAATGGGTACGAACAAAAATGGCATCAAAGGGTGCTGGGAAGGTGGCTCAGTGGTAGACTTCTTGCCTAACATGCATGAAACCCTGGGTTCGATTCCTCAGTACCACATAAACAGAAAAAGCCAAAAGTGGCACTGTGGCTCAAGTGGTAGAACACCAGCCTTGAGCACAGAGAGGCTCAGGAACAGTGCCCAGGCCCAGAGTTCAAGCCCCAGGACTGGCACAAACAGCAACCAAAAAAATCACAACCAAGTTGTCATCTACATGTTGCATTCAACCAAGTTCACTGAGAGATACATTACTTTTCATCAACTCTCCAAGTCCAATGGCCTGCGAACAAAGCCCAGTTATCTGTTCCATCTCTGACCCTCTCACATAAATTCAACATTTTGTAGTGAATCCGAAATACAAATCAGAAAAAAGTCTTCTACTTTGTGGTTTGTAGTGCTGGGCAGGAGTAGGGAAAATCCCAGGCCCTACAATAAAGAATGTCCTTAGTCTTGCTCTCTAGTAAGAACGCCAGAGATGATCCTCATCTTTGCTGTCTGTATGTTTCTTCCTTATTCACCTCCATGGCCACATTTGCCAAATAAAAAACCTATCAGAAACAATATTAGGAGTTTTTATGTTTGTCTGTATTCAGTTGTATGTGCCAGTGACCTTACTATATTCTTCTCTAGTTGTACTTAATATGACTGCCTTATTTCTTTCTGTGCATCCAACACATTTTAATGGCCTTATTTTAATGAGATCCATCTTCATCCCTTATTTTAGCAGCCACTATCTTGAACCTGTGTGAAACTTCAGGACAGCAGAATCCTTACCCTTCTCTTGACCACAAGACTGAATCCATTGTTTTATCAAGAAGTCTTTAAAAAATTCCTTTGAGAAAGCCACTAGTTTGGAATGGTTGATTGAAAGACCCCACATTTCTGCTTATTTCCCACCATCTTTGCTTACAAGTTAGCCAATTTTTGTCAGACTAAACTCATGAATGAAGAACCACCAACACAACTGGGGCAATTGTCATGGTGTTCCAGTAGTACATCTTCCTCTTGCTAATACATGTTAACCAAGCTACTGGCCTGTATTTTAGGATTGTTGTTAATTGGAGATAAGCATCTCATGGACTGTCCTATCTGAGCTGGCTTCAAATTGAGATCCTCAGATCTTAGCCTCCTATGTAGCTAGGATTCTCAGGTGTGAGTCACCTTCACCCAAGGTTTGGCAGAAACTGAGAGGAGCTATAACTTGTAACTATTACAATTCCTAACCTATAGTAGGTGTTCAGACACTTTTTGAATACATTTTTAATAAATAGTCATTTAATATCTGAATAAGGTAAGTTGGAGATGTAATCAGACAAGATTAGAGTCAGCATGACATAAAGCTCTCACAATAAGAAAATATGTATGAACTAGCTGAGATTCAATGTCACTTCTATGAAATGGGGAATATCTTTATATAAAGATAGCAGTGTTTGGATCTGCACTGAACTTTGATATTAGTCATGCGATTACTTGGTATGAAATAACTTTAGTAGTTGGTAAAAGCATTTTTTGGGAGAAATGAAATGGTGTTGAGTGAACAGGGTCTTATTTGAACATTTACCTAACATAATCATACCAAGGACAAAACAATTGTACTTAAGAAATACTTCAAATGTGAGAAAAACTATAGGATTGGGAAATTTTCTTCTTAAAATATTTAAAACATATTGTTTGAACTATTCATAATAATTGTCTCTTTTTTTCCTTCGGTTGGTCACGGGGCTTGAACTCTGGGCCTGGACGCTGTCCCTCAGGATTTCAGCTTAAGGTTAACACTTTACCACTTGAGCCATAGCACCACTTCTGGCTTTTTCTGCTTATGTGGTGCTGAGGAATTGAACCCAGGGCCTTATGCATGCAAGCAAGCAAGCACTCTACCATTGAACCACCTTCCCAGCCCTCAAGAGATATTTTCTTAGCTAACTACCTCAGATCCTTGCCTCTACCCATTAGCATACTGGTTATAGAAAACAATTTTTGAGATAAGGTCCTGTTAATTGTCCCAAGAAAGTCTTGAACTTGCAGTCTTCCCTCTTTAGCCCCACAAGTGGCTTATATTAGAGGCTAATGTTCTACTTGTAGTTGAGCTCTTTGTGTATATGACCTAAAAGAACTTCATGAACATTGCTTATTATATTTCTTCCACTTTGCAAATCGTCTGTTTCCTATCTCATTAAGGAACTACTCCTCTCTGAATCTATGTAAGAAAAACTAATCACTGAAAACCATTTCACATCTCATAAGAAAAATTTTCACATGAGAATATCAAAAGCAGGGAAAGAAAAGTAAAAAAGAAAATTGATTTACACATATATTTTATACATACAGAAATTAATTTTACATATATATATGCTTTATGTATATATTTCAATACCCAGCTTTTACTTGAGCCCACCCTACCCTGACTTTTTGCTAGTTAATTGGAGAGAAAATATCAGATATTTCTGTCCAGTCTGGCTTTGGTTTTGGTTTTTTGTTTGTTTGTTTCTGTTTTTGTCTGTTATGGGGCCTGAACTCAGGGCCTGAGCACTGTCCCAGAGCTCTTTTGCTCAAGGCAAACGCTCTACCACTTTGAGCCACAGTTCCACTTCTGGTTTTCTGGTGGTTAATTGCAGATAAGACTCTCATGGACTTTTCTGCCTGGGCTGGCTATGAACTGCGATCCACAGATCTCAGCCTCTTGAGTATCGGGGATTACAGGAGTGAGCCACCGGCACCCATCTCTCAGGCTGACTCTGAACCCTCATCCCTCACTTCGCAGTCTTTTAAGTTGTTAGAATTACAGGTGTGAGCCATCAGTGCCTGGCAAAAATTGATACTGATTATATTTCCTACTTGGCAAGGATCTTAGCTCTATCAGACAAAAATTGAAAAAAAAACTTTTATATTCTGGCTTTTGAGCTCCATTGTTTAAGGTTCTATGTAAGTCACTCCCATTTAAACATATTATTTTAATTTAGGGATCCATCAGTGGAGTACAGAAAGTATGGAACATACTTTCTCTTTTTCCACAAGATTTTCTTTTTTGGCAGAGGGAGGGGAGGTCCGGTCATGGGGCCTGAACTCTGGGCCTGGACACTGTCCCTCAGCTCTTCACCTCAAGGCTAGCACTCTACCACTTGAGCCACAGCGCCACTTCCAGCTTTTTTCTTTTTTGCTTATGTGGTGCTGAGGAATCCAACCCAGGACCTCATGCATGCAAGGCAAGCACTCTACCACTGAACCACCTTCCCAGCCCTTACCACAAGACTTAAAGGCAGGAATAGTATTATTAAAGTTTGTTCTTTATTGCTTTGCTTTGTTCTCCCCTCCCCCCCCCACCCTGTGTATTTAGCAGTACTGGGTACTGAACTCAGAGCCTCATCTTGCTAAGCTACCACTTGAACCATGCCCAGAGTCCTTTCCTGTTAGTAATCCCTAAAATTTAAGAGCCCTAAGCTTGGGTTTTGTTTCTCAATGATAGAAAATGGCTTTAAGGATTTTCACCACCTTCCCAAACACATAAGTATGTGGTTGGTATGTGTTCTTCCTCTTCTTGTGAGGTATATTACAAGACCCTGCCTTGAAAAAGTTAGGGCTGTCATTGTCTGAAAAACCAAGTAAATAAAGATAAATCTGTAATTTACTGCTAAGACCAAAATTATCCTCTGTGTGGGTGCACACGCACGCATGCACGCGCACACACGTGTGCCATATTGGGACTTGAACTTAGCCTGAGTGCTGCCCCAGGTATGGTAGGTTGGTGTGTTACCATTTGAGCCAAACCTCCACTTTCGGCTATTTGTTGGTGAATTGGATATGGGTCTCACAGACTTTCCTGCCCAGGCTGACTTCAAACCAAACAGATGTGAACTACTGATACCTGGCTGAAATGATCCTTTGTAGGCCCCCAGGGTTTTTAATACAGTCAAGACACTTGCAAATGGTACCTCTTTTAAATCCTAACATCTAATTCTTACAGGTCAAAGTACCACAGTAATTACAAAATACTTCATTTTATTAATAATGTATATACAAATAAATTAGTTTCAAACAATTATGATACATTTGTACACTAAATTCAAGTCCTTCTGTTTTGCATATCTTCCAGAGTAACTAGATTAATTTTCAGGTCATCTCGGCAGTGTCATCTTCACTATCAGAATCTTCATAAAATGAAATTGTGGCTTGAACTGGAAAATTTTTCAGAAGAACTTCTGCTTCTTGATATAAGTAATCATAACACTTTGACTTGGGCCAAAATAATCTGAAAGAAACAGAACATTTGTGTGTTTTATCTTTTTCACATTTGTGAAATGGTCAAATTTCAAAAGCTCCAAAGAATCAACAGTTGATTTAGACATTTAGATAACGTCTTGCAATAGTTTAAAAATACCCTTATCACAGCTTTCATGATGATTGTTCACCAAAGTATCAGTAAATGGCTGATCATTTTAAATCCTTATCCAAGCTATAAATTAAAACCAACAAATCCGTATAATGCCCAGTATAAACATAAGATCAATGTTTAAGATAGGTACATATGCATATAATGTGTATGTATACATATATATACATATATATGTATACATACACATTATATATACATATCACATACACAAAAGTTTGTCTTTCAATTTCCAAATTCCTTTGGAGGGATGACTTCTACCAATACA